AGATCTGAGGTGAAAGAACGGAGGTGATGGTGGCGATGGTGGATCTGCAAAAGGAAAAAAATCAAGTTTGTTTTTCTATTTTCTCCTTTTTTTTTTTTTTTTTTTGGGTTTGGCAGCCGCACATCCTTCTTCTCCCTTTAAAAGGAGGAAACTAGGGTTTTCTTCAATTTGGGTTTTGATGGGCTGACAATATTGGGCTGGGCTTATGAGTTTATTTTAGTAAATTTCATCCTCAGCTTTTTAATTTTTTCAATTGAGTCCTTTTCTTGTTTTTTTTCAACTTCTCCTCAAAATTTTTCATAAATTTTTTTTATAACGATAAATCCGAAACGGTACGCGAAAAGTTCCGGTATCCGGTACGTACCGTTCCAGTAACAAAACCGGTACATATGCCGGTACGGTATTGACTACTTTGAAAATTACGGGTAACCCCATTTTAATTTTAAAACAATGCATGCCAAACATCAAATATCAAAATAATAATTCTTAGTCATAATCTAGTAATGTAGGATAAAAGTCAGTTCGTGGTCTCCTCAATTAGTTATGGCCAATGTTTAACAAAACTGTTACTGGAAAGCGTCAAGAATAACCAATGTTTACCTTCCCATTGGTAGGATAAGAGGGTGAACCAGCTCCACAAGAATACATGTGACATGTGCCAGCATTTACCCAACTTCTACTCACAGGTGTAAGGAATCATGACTAAGTCAAAGATAAAACAACGCAAGAATATAAACAGGACACTTGAAATAGACATAATTCATGATCTTGTGTAGTTGGTATATTTCAACAAGTATCACAAGAGGTATGCTCAAGCTTTTTAAAAAAAGAAACAAAGATAAAGTCTTTACTTCAAAATATGTCATGCTTATATCATCTTAAAAACAAGTTAACTCTTGCCACCACCACAAAATAGTTTGAAATATGCCTTTGAAATCTCTGTTTGAAACTAAGGGCAAAGACCATAACTTTACTTACCTTACATTACAAAAAACCATAACATCCAAAACCAAGTACTAGAGTGATGGAAATGATCAAAAGCCTAAATGAAATATTCAAGAATTAATAAATAAACTAATACAGATAAAAAAGTCAAACCACTACCATGTTGTGACACAATTTGTATCCATCTCTACATGACCAGACATCTCTAAATTTGTTCTCAAGTAGAAATCACGCATTTAATCCCTTCTATTATTGTCAGCTTATAACCCATAATGTACTTGTTTGGTTTGCAATTATATGATCATATCCCATAAAGGAAAATAATTGATTTTCCTACTAGTATGTTTGGATCGAGGGGAATGGAGGGGAGGGGAAAAAATTGTGATATTCTAGTCCTTAATGTAATTAGTTAAAAAAATAGGTCCTTAATTGCATTAAGTCTAAAGTTAGAGTCATTCATCTCATCTAGAATTAGGGACTAATCTATAATAATTATTATGTAATATCCCAAAATTTTTGAAATTTTAAACGTATATATGTCTATATGAATACATTAGTACAAATAAATTTAAATTTAAGTTAAGGACTTACGTGGTAGAAATTATTATTGTTGGGCCTAATGACTAAAATTGGCAAACCTAAAAGGGTTTAAAAGTGAAATCTGGTAATATAAAGGGGTTAAGGCTGATCTTCCATTTTACTCCTTCTTGCATGAGTAACCCACAACCCTCACCAAAATTTTCCTCCACAAGCTTTAGCATAGCAGCCTTTTCTCGTTAGAAATCAGGTGAGGTTTGGTTATTTTTCCTCTTTTTCCTAATAAGTTATAGAGATTAATAGGCCTATGGTTCTCAAAATCATGATGAAAACTCAGATCTTGCTACTAATATCCTTCCAATTTGCTAGTCCATGTCGGGTTCTTGAGCAGTGTAAGAGGTCACCATTTTTCCAGCACTTTTTGGTAAGAAACCAGCCATATTACTCATCTTATCATCTTTGATTTGAAATGGGATTAACTTTAATCCTCTAGGGTTTTCAATCTGGGATTTTTCTATAGTTTCCTCCTTGATTTTGCCCATAATCAAGCACTAGCAAAATCTAATCTTTTTTTGCTGGAAAAATTATGACAGCATGACCTTGCTGTAGTATTTTGCCCATAACTCTTTTTGTAATTATCGGATTACGTCTATTTTTGATTTTATAGAAAGTCAAGAGATAGCCCTACAACTTTTCTTTGGATGTTTAGCCCAGTTAAGTTGTTTTCAAGGTGAAAACTCTATTGCAAGTTCAATTTTTGCTAACGGACTTAACTGACAAGCTGACTTTAAGTTAGTATTTTAGCCATAACTTTCTCTATAGGTGTCAGATTAAGGTGATTCTTGATCCTATAGAATGTTAAGACATAGGACTACAATTTATCTGTTGACTATTTAGTCTAGATTGGTCAATTTCTAGATGTAAATTCTATTGGAATTTCTAGTCCAAAATCTTATCAAAATTGCTCTCAAAAGTACCTAGAAATGTGCTCTATTTTCTAATTTATTCCCATTGTACCTATTGCCATATTGCATCATGATTTTACTAGATTTTTAGCTGTTGTTTTCGTGCACTAAAACCCTTTGTTATGGCTTTATTTTGGCTGCCCTTTTTATTACTACTGCTTTTCTGCTTAAATGCTGTCAAATTCTACCCAGTTCTAGCTTGTATTTTACCCTGTTTTTGCTGCTATTTTTTTGCCCAAAATTCCTTATTGTTTAGGGTTTACTATAAACATTTTGGGACTATTTTAAATGGTAGAAACCCTCACCTTGTGGCCCAAAATTTTTGCTGTGTCTAGGATAGTTTTGAGCTTCGTTTCTCACACTTTTTTCTAGTTTACTTTGTTAAGCAAATCTATTGGGTAAATCCGCTATATGTAGTATCTTTTTGGAGTTGTTTTAAAAAGGGTAGAGCTGATCAGAATGTGTAGGAAGAAGTTGTTTCTTTGGTTAGGAAACTTAATACTAGGATTATGAACCAAATCTATTAAATGGAGTATGTTGTAATCTTGTTTATTCATTTGATGTGGTATAGGGTTTAAATCCCCCTCACCGCTTGAAATCTTGAATACTTTCTTGTTTTGTACCTATAAGGTGAGGTAAGTAAAATTATGGTAAATGCCTTTGGATTTTAAGGTAAAGGTTTTTAAAAGCATATTTTGAACTATTTTGAGATAGTGGTAGGACCTGAACATGATTTTTATTAGCACATGATCATGAAAGATTTGAAATAAAGTTATTATTTTTATTAAGTTGAGCATGCCTACATGGAGTTTACTTCTTATTCTAGAAATCTGAAATTGGATTGTAAAGTTAAGATTTTCTTGTTAACTCCTGCACATTTGTAAATTATGAAATTTCTTGTTAACTCCTGCATATTTATAAATTGTTGATTTTTCTGTTGAACTCTTGCATGGTTCGGTCTCCAATATGGTCATGATTCCTAAAGCCCGCCAATGGGAGTTGTGAACATTGGCACATGTTGACATGTATATTTGTTAGACAAGTTCATCCTACCAATGGGATCGTACATTGGAAATTCGGTCATCCTGCCAGTGAGAGAGTACACAAGTATCCTACTAATGGGATCATGCATTGGAAATTCTATCATCTTGCCAGTGGGAGAATACGCTAGCATCCTGCTAGTGGGAGAGTATGCTAGTATCCTGCCAATGAGAACACACATTGGTATTTTTGTTATCTTGCCAGTAGGGATCGTACATAGGTATTTCTATTATCTTGCTAGTGGGATCGTACATAGGTATTTCTGTTATCTTGCCAACTGGGATAATACATTGGCTATGACTAATTGAGAAGACCACTATTGAGTTTTATTCTGCATTGAAGGTTTATAACAGAGATGCTTTTCCTTTTGTTTATGTATTAAAATGTTTATCTGGCATGCTTTAAATTTCAGTGAGGGCTATCTATATTTTACTTACTAGGTTATCTCACATAGTTTTTCCTTATCCACCATTTCAGGTAATGAAACCTGAGACGTGGGAAACCAAAAGGAGTGACAAGCTAGAAAGCTAGCCACTTGTAGTTTGGACATATATTTTGAGATATAGATCATTCTTTTGTAAGCTAGCTTTTATTTTGAGATATTGATCTAAGTTTATGGATTGTTAGTTATGAATTATGCATGTTTTAAGCTTTGTGCAATTGTGGGATCCTCTAACAAGTGTACGACGTTTGTTTCACTCCCAATTTTGGGGCATGACATATTAATTATGGGATTGCATGTTATTTTAATAAAAAAAATTAAGAGTTTATCTTAGAGAGAGTTTAGTGCAGTCCATCTATCTATAACCTGTTAAAATAAATAACAGGTGGTTGGATGAAAAGTAGGCCAAGTGGGGTGCAATTAAAACCCGCTTGATTGGAGGTTTTTGAGCTATATAACTACATTAGTCATTTTCCTGCATTTTGGCTCTAGCTGGACCAAAAGAAAACGAAGGTGCTAAAAGACTAGGCAAACTTGGAGATCCTTGAAGGAACTTTATCGAGCCTAGATTTTTGAACAAGTGTGTGGGGTAAGTGTGATTCGTAACTTTAAGATTAGGTTGTCAAACATAACAAAGAAATAAATATAAGATAAAGAAAGTATACAAAGGAATTATGATACTACAATACAAGCTATACAATATAGACGGTACAATAAGTAAAGAAAGTATGATTTAATTAAAATAATCTGCACTAAATCCAATTTCTTAGTGAAATTAATTGTGGGGACAGTAAAAATGAGATTTAATCTAGGCTACTAAGGCCTGAAATTGAGATTTACTTCATTTTAATGAGTTAAATTATGAAATTCTCATGTTATGCCTATTTCCCTTGTGATTCTATAAACTAAATTAATTGTTGAACATGTAATGCATGTTCCTATATGGTATATGTTTTTGTGGTATATTTTCTTAGAACTATGGTGAGTTTGGACCCAACTTAGGCTTGGGAGTTAGAACAGTGAACTAGTGAACCTCTTCGTAGTAGGTAAGTGCTATGACTAACTCTACCACCTAATGTGAGTGCATACACATTTCAGTGGACTAAATCCATCTAATGTGTTGTGTTGTGTGATTGTTTTATGGCTAAATGTACAAATTATTAGTAATACCTGTACCATTAGAAACTAATGGTACTTTTCTCCATAATGACTAAAGTAAAAAAAAATTAGCTTAACTTATGGTTAAGAATTATGTTTATTGGGATGTGAGCTCATGGAATTTATTCCACAATTTCAAATAGTAGTAGTGAGTAGTAGCTGCTATTTCCTAAGATTTTTGGTGGATGTCCCACGCTAACAATGCTAACAGTGCCTAAATAGCCAATAAGCCAAGTCTATATCTATCCAAAACTATGGCTGGCTCTATAATTTTCAATCTATTTTGTACTTTTTTTTAGCCTAAGAATG